AAAGGGGTTGGCTCCCAATTTTCCTATTAGACAACTTTTATTATGTATTTGATAGTGAGTTTTTTAATGAAAAAAACTCAAATCCCATCTCAATCGGCGCACAATTTTCGTAATTGGACCATATTTATTTTTTCAATGTAAATTTAAAAAATAATAACTATATCAATAAATTTCATTTACATTTAACATCATCTACACATTTATTTATTATAACCTTGATAATCTCTCGTAATAAAACTTTTATAAGAAATAAGATAAATGTAATATAGATATTTACGTTATCTCTTTTTCTAATATTATTAAAAAAAGAAAGTTTGTCTATGTAAAAAAAGAATTGAAAAAAAAAATGTCTATATAGAAAAAAAAAAAAAAAAAAAAATGTCTATGGTAAAAAGAAAGTTGAAAAAAAATGTCTTAACTATAGAAGAAAAAAAAAAAAAAAATACGCAGGATTAGTAATATATTTGTAACGGATTAATTATTAGAATAAAAAAGTCATTAGATAAAATGACAATTAATAAGCTCTATGTATTTAATTGCAACATTTATTATATAGTTATATATATAAATATAGACAGAGAGCTTATTTATCCTAATTAACAAATCTAACCTAAGATGCTAGTTCTAGATTCTATAAGTACAAGGCTACTGGCAGATTTCGCCTTATTGCATTAAATAGATCACAGTTCAGCAGGGTTTTTGTCCGAAATGAGCATAGAGAAAGAGACACAAAAATGTCAATAAGATGCACGGCGTCTTTGTTTGAAATTAAATAAAAGATAAAGAACAGAAGCCATTTTTAAAAATGGTGGGAATTTATACAAATTTGTTCCCTTATCTATTTTGTTTTTTCTCTGTAGATCGTTTCCTTTTGTCATTGAAAAGCTACACAAAGAAGCACATTCAGTGTGAACGCTTGTCCCTTATATCAATGCTTCTTTTCCAATGTGGCCTCCTGCCTTCCATATCTTATCCCTTTTTTTCCTTTTGTTAATTCAGTTTAATGTTTCATAATAAAGCATTTCACCAAATTTTCTTGTTCAATCACTTTGTTGAGATTGAGGATTACGAAAGGTTGAGTTATAGTTTAATATACATTTTTCAAAACATTCTCACCGAAAATAACTCGTCTAATAGTTAAAACGGCAGCAAACAGGAAATAGATTAATGCATCTCATACTAAATCGTATACATCAGAACGAAGGGGAAGAAATATTAAATAATATATAAACATTTTACATACTTTAAAATAATAATCTTCATTTTCTTAAGTTTTTCAAATTTTTCCTTCATTTTGGTTTCAAACACTGGTCCTTTCTTTTTTTTTTCTTTAGATTTATTTTTTGTTAAGATTTTTTCCTTTCCTTTGTCAGAATCTAATTGTTTGACGTCGGAAATCCGGTAACAACTTTCTTTTAATGAACTTGTCTCACTTTGACCAGTAGCCAAACACATTAAATATCATTTGGTTTGTGTCAATACTTGGGAGAGAGGCAAAGAAGAACCCTATTCATTTTTTGTTATTGGACAGGATTCCATATTTATTGATTGTTATTGCACTAATCCTCTTTGTGCTTCGTAAAGGATTCCATAATTTTTCAATCCTCCATATTTTGCGAGATGCAGGGATTCAATTGACTCAAGAAAATAGCCAAGGGAAGGCTCCAAAATCGAAGCAGAGGTGCCAAATTTCCCCTGGATAGAACATGAAATATATTTGGCCCATGAAATGCTAGTTGGGCAAGATAAAATAATGAGGGTTGACAAAAGCTCCTAATTCTCAAAACACAGTACCAAGAGAGAAAAGATAATTATAACAAAAATTATAATATATCTAAAAGTTAGGAAAGGGCTTACACCCTCTTGGTGGGTCTATTCAGGGTCGATCCCGACCTAGTCGGAGCTATCTGGTTACTTCAAAAAAAAAAAAAAAAAAAAACGCAGGTAGTAATATATTGTACGGATTAATTATTAAAAGAATAAAAGTTGATAAATGACAATTAAAGCTCTAGATTTTCAACATTTATATATATATATATATATATAGACAGAGACTTTATTATCCTATAACAATCTAACTAGATGCTAGTTCTAGATCTATAGTACAGGCTACTGGCAGATTTCCTTAATTGCATTAAATAATCAACAGTCAGAGGGTTTGTCGAAATGAGCATGAGAGACCAAAATGTCATGTGCACCGTCTTTGTTTGAATTAAATAAAGATGAAGAACAGAAGCCATTTTTAAATGGTGGGATTTATAATTTGTTCCCTTACTATTTGTTTTCTGAGTGTTCCGCCATTGAAGACACAGAGACTTGACCTTGTCCCTTATATCACATGCTTCTTTCATGTGCCTCCCTGCCTCCATATGCTTATCCCTTTTTCTTCCTATTTGTTAATTAGTTTAATGTTCATAATAAAAGCATTTCACATTTTCTTGTTAATACTTTGTTGAGATGAATTACGAGGTTGAGTTATAGTTAATATAAACATTTTCAAACATTCTCAACCGAAAATAACTCGGTCTAATAGTTAAAACGCACCAAACGAAATAGATTAATCTCTCATCTAATCGTTAAGCGAGAAAAAAATATATATAAACATTTTAAATTTAAAAAATCTTCATTTTCTAGTTTTTCAAATTTTTCTTCATTTTGTTTCAACTTCTTTCTTTTTTTTTTTCTCTTAATTTTTAAGTTTTTTCCTTTCCTTTTGCAGATCTAATTTTTGCGTCCGGCAACTCTTATGAACTTGTCTCACTTTGCCAGTAGCCAAACATAATTTTTGGTTTGTGTCAACGAGAGCAAGAGAAACCCTTCATTTTTGTTATTGGAAGGCCATATAATGTTTGTTATGCTATCTCTTTGTGCTGAGGATTCAATTCATCCTCATTTGGAGATGCAGGGATTCAATTGACTCAAAAAATAGCAAGGGGGCTCAATCGAGCAGAGTGCCAAATTTCCCTGGAAGAAATGAAATATATTGGGCCATGATGCTAGTTGGGCCAGATAAAATAATGAGGTTGAACAAAAGCTCTAATCTAAAACACAAGATATAACAAATATACATATACTAAAGTTAGGAAGGGCTTTACCTCTTGGTGGGTCTATTCAGGGTCGATCCCGACTAGTCGGAGCTCTGGACGGACTTCGAATATCAGATGGTTTCATTAAAAAGATAATTTCCATTGAAAATTTTTTAGAAATTATGTTTATATTGATAAGTTTGGAATTAGTGACCGCTGTTGAGCAACAGAAAATAATACCATTGAAGATGATCAGAACAGTTTAAAAAAAAAAAAACAAAAGGATGATGAGGCTCCTCCTTTGAAATAAATCTGTTATGTCAACCCTACAGGGTAAAGTACATTGGCAGGTTTAAAACACTTTTTAAATTGGAAGCATTCATCATTCATGGATCCATTGCAGCACTTTGTCAGGCCTTTCTTAATTAGCATTCTAATTTTCTTAATTAATAAAATTTTTATTCTTTAATTGATTCAGTATAAGTATAAAGTATATTTAGATATCATTTGTTTGGACTGAATAATTAAAAATTAGTATCAAATAGCTAATTGCTGAATTATTAGAAATGGCCAAATACATAAGTTTATGCATTTTGTAATTTCAATATTGTGGTACCCTTAGCTTCGAGAGAAATATATTATATTTCTAAAAATTATGAATTTAATAATAATGCACATATTCCCATGATAATGTTCGTAATTTTTGGAATTTTGCTCTTTTTCACGTAAGATATTAGTTTGATATACGTTGGGTTACAACAACCACTAAAATTCATCTTTTTATGAATCATATATTAATAAATAAAATGAATAATAAACTCCAATACTTTACTCTCAGTGTTTATAAATATAAATCATTAAATATTATTACATAATAATTAAGAAAACTATTAATTCTTTATTAATTTCACAATATTGCCCTTTAAAAAATTCTAAAGATAATTATTACATCTAATATGACTAAGAGTAAAACTGAAAAAATAGGGTAAGTACGATTTATATTTGTGTACAAAGGATATATAATTCAAACCCTTGGATTCGAACGGATTGTCCGAACCAATTGTGTTTGTTTGTTTGTATTTGGATAACAAGTATGTTTTGCCTTTTCTTTTACATTTAGCAATCTTACAGGAAAAACCATAAGCAGCAGCTTTAATGCAATGCTGTGCATTTTTCAGGAAGCAAATGCTTTATACAAACAAATTGCCCCAACAAATCCTCCACCACACAAACACACATCATTCTTCTTCCCCCTAACAAATAAGCACGCACTATAATGCTAGCTGGATTTTGTACGTGTCAACTGTCTATTGGTTTCTATTTTTGGCGTTGGACATCTTCATCTTCATTGGATACTAAATCTGAACCTGCTACTTATAAACAACTAGACATCATCCCTGTGTGGAATTAATAATTGGACCAGGTTTATGTTTGTATTAAATATTATCAATGTTAATTAAAACAAAAAAAGTAAATATTTATGTTTGTGGTTTTCTTATTCTAGGAAAATTAAGAAAATATATGTCTCTTCTAATCAAGTAAAAAAAAATGAATATGGAAATTGAAAACAAAGTAAAAGAAAAAAAAAGTTTTATTTGCCAAAAAAAAAAAAAAATTCAAAGATTGAAAGCTAAGTAGGTTACGTTTACTGCACAAATCTGAATGGGACAACTCTATTTCTTTAATAATTGTCAAAAATTATTGAATTTTTTTATTACAATCAAAGTGGAATATTATAATTTGAAATTTTTATGACAATAATAGCAGAGAGGATTTTAAATTTTAAATATTGCATATATAGTTTGCTGAAAATACAATTTATCTGTCTATTATTATACAATATAATCACCTGTTAATCATGAATTATTAATCAAGATATATGTATAATTTAATTTTAAATTTAAAAAGTAAAAACGAAATCAGTTTGAAGTTCAAAGAGAAAACACGTATATAGTACGGGTTTTTTTTTTGTCCTAAAACGCGTAATTTTCTCTTTCTTTTCTTTCTTCTTTCTTTTCTTTCTCCTTCTCTCACCTGCTGAACAATGGTGTTAGTATCTTCACTTCCTTTTCTTCTCCTTCTCTTATTGACAGATCTCTGCTACTCCATTTCACTAAGGACTACTGTCAACTCTACTGCTACCAAAGAGTACCTGAAGCTCCCACTGCTACACAGAACCCCATTTAAGTCTCCCGCTCAAGCCCTTCCTTTTGATATCCGCCGCCTTTCTCTCCTCCACCGCCAACGAACCTCTCTAAAATCCCCTGTCATCTCCGGTGCTTCCACTGGCTCCGGTCAGTACTTTGTCTCTTTGCGCCTTGGTTCTCCTGCTCAAACTCTGCTCTTAGTCGCTGATACAGGCAGCGATCTTGTTTGGGTCAAATGCTCCGCTTGTAAAAACTGCTCTAACTACTCTCCAGGATCTGCATTTCTCGCTCGACACTCTTCCACATTTTCTCTAATCCACTGTTTCAACTCACAGTGTCGACTCGTTCCTCACCCGCGCCCAAATCCATGTAACCGCACTCGCTTACACAGTCCCTGTCGATACGAGTACTCGTACGCCGATGGTTCCAGTACGAGTGGATTTTTCTCGAAAGAAACGACGACGTTGAATACAAGTGCCGGAAGAGAGAAGAAGCTTAAGAATTTAGCATTCGGGTGCGGGTTTCGGATCTCAGGTCCGAGTCTTACCGGTGCGAGTTTTGCTGGAGCCCATGGAGTTATAGGTTTAGGTAGAGCGCCCATTTCGTTTTCTTCTCAGTTGGGACGTCGTTTTGGTAACAAGTTCTCTTACTGTCTCATGGACTACACTCTCTCTCCACCTCCGACTAGTTATCTCATGATCGGCGGCCATCAAAACAGCGCCGTTTCGAGGAAGAGAATCTTGAATTTCACGCCGTTACTTGTAAACTCTCTATCGCCTACATTTTACTACATTGGGATTAAGAGTGTGTCTGTCGACGGTGTGAAGCTACCAATTAATCCTTCCGTTTGGTCAATTGACGATTTGGGTAACGGGGGTACCATCATTGACTCTGGGACTACGTTGACTTTCTTAGTTGAGCCAGCTTACCGTGAGATTCTATCAGCAATTAAACGGCGAGTTAAGCTACCGGGTCCTGGAGAGCTAACTCCCGGTTTTGATCTTTGCGTGAACGTTTCGGGCGTGAGGAGACCCGTTTTTCCAAGAATGAGTCTCGAACTCGCCGGTAACTCGGTATTTTCTCCTCCGCCTAGGAACTATTTCATCGATACAAGTGAGGGCGTCAAGTGTTTAGCGATTCAACCCGTTAACTCGGGAAGCGGATTTTCCGTGATAGGGAATCTGATGCAACAAGGATACTTATTAGAGTTCGATAGAGACAGATCACGGCTCGGTTTTGCACGTAGCGGCTGTGCTTTACCGTGACATAGAAAAACGGTGTCGTTTGATTTTTTGGACTGATTTGATTTTTAATTCTTTTTCATTCTCATTTTGTCAGGATTTTTAATGATCAACTGTTGCTTAAAATATAAGGTTATTTTTGAACATTATGGAACCATTGGAGAGATGCATTTTGTTTTCATTATTGTTTCTAAATATTTTCTTTTTTATTTATTTTGCAATATGGAGATTTATTTTGGGGATGAAATGATAAAAATGGTATAATTAGGGGAGCAGTGGCAGACAGTGTATGTGTAGCTGTTTTGCAGTATACGGTTATTCAAATTCAACTCTTTGTTTGATATGTTGATTTTAGATTTGGTTTCACATGCACGGCAGAAACACAATATGCAAAACCGCATTTTTTATTTTATATATTGAGCTATATATATATTAGTCTCACTATAAATAAATATAGGATTTATTTTTTAACTAAGAGGATAAATATTTCTATAAAAAAAAAAAAAAGGCTATGGATGATTTAAGCTAAGCTCATCTTTGACTAACTAACCGTTTAGCTCATTAATAACGTGTCTTGATTGAGACAAGTATTTGCCACGTTCTTAACCCATTCCAACATGAATTGACCTATGTTAAGTCTAACACAGTAACACCAAGCAACTCATAAATACTTATCATATTATTATTTAATTAGCATAAGATTTATTTAATTCCAAACAGTTAAATATATTTTCTTTGTTGTTTTTCACACTTAAATATATATATCTTGCTGTCAAATTCTAGAATGTTGGTGGAATCCACACGGTTAGAAGAATTACTTTAGTTGATGCGAATTGACATGGGCAAATTATAGATTTTGCGTCTTTAATTCTTCTCCTCCAATGAACTTTATATGCCCACTGGCCAAGTTGGTCAAAAAAACAAGAAAGCCAAAATGTCACATCTAATGATATTAATTGAAACCCTCGTGTTCAGTCCAAATTAAATACTGAAAATTTTAATTTTAAGTCCTTGTAATGCAAATAAATCTCTAATTACCATGTAAATGATCTGAGCAACTCCAAAAAATTTGAAAAAATACGATTCAATTCTTGATATTGTAACATTTAATTTCTTTCTTTTGTAGTGAGTTATCTCACCCGAATGAGCTTTATAATGGATTGTACTGTTCATAACGAGCTTTTAAATTATTGTAACTATTACTGACGGTATAAAGTATAAAAATTTATTGTATATAATATATAATATGAATGGCAAAAAAATATATATATGTTGAAATTAAATCTATCTATAACAAAAAAAAAATTAAAGTATTAAATTATAACAAAGATCCTTTTATAACCATAATGAGGTTTGATGTTAAATTAAGTGATTTTACTTTCCACATTTCTAACCATCCTTTAAGAAATTAAATTAGTCAAGAGATTGCTGAACTTATTACTATGATTCTTCCCCATTATTTACAGTGCAGGCATGAGAACTTTAGACCCTTCTCTCTTTTTTTCTTTAAAAAAAAAAAGAAAACATACTCCATTTTCATTTTTCCTTCCATGATTATGAAAAAAAAAAAAAGAGAGAGAATAACATTAAGAAAAATAAAAATTAGAATAAATGATACATTGAATGACTTCATCCCCATTCCTATATTTCTTAGCCTTTATTCTTCACTATAAATGTAAATTACAGATTTTCTTTCGTTTTCATAGTAGAAGAACTCTCTATTTAGTGTCACTGTCTATCCATTATTGGACATTTTTTTTATATATTTTTTTCAACGAATCTACATATGCTAAATTACTTGGTTTCACCTAAAGAAAAAAAAATAATACAATAATAATAAGCCAAAAAAATATATATAAAGAAAGAAAGGAAGTTCATTATTTGGTTCACATGATTTACAGTGACCTATGAATTAGGTGTTTCCAATACTCTAAATTAATAGCTATCCACTTATATAAGGGGGAGAGAGAAGTCCTATCATAAATGTTTTTATATATAAATATTTTTTTTAGGGAAAATTTTATTTTGAAATATGGTCAAAGGAGTTTTTTAAAAAAAGAAAAAATCAACTACGCAAAATTTGGAGAATATATTTAATTATTTATACTAGCATATATTATCTCTGTTCCATAATTTTTGTTACATTTAGAATTTCATGTCCTTTAAAAAAATTTATTAAATTTGTCTAATTTATAATAAATAATTGAGTAAATTGATTATATTATCCTCAATTTAATACTAATTATCTACGAAAACTATTAAATTGAAGTAATAATTATTAGTCCTATATAAAAGGTAAAGATGGAAAAAATATTTATTCTTCCTAAAAATCACGAATGTAACAACCACAAATATAATAAATATTTTAAAATAAATTATTTTCTCAAATTTAATAAGATATTATAGAACAGAGATTGTAACAATTATTGCCTCAAGTCAACAATTGCAACTCTCATGTGCTTTATAGTTCGTACTCCATCTATTACACTTTTAAATGTATAAACAGAACAAAGAAAAAAAAAAACTATGGGTTATGACACAGCCGGTAATATAATTTGTGTATATAGGAAGAACTCTCGAATTTGGTTTCCACTAAACACACTTACAGGAAGGAGAAAAAAATCTTAAATGTAATTAAACTTCAAGCCGGATTAGGGGCTATTGGTAATAAAGTCAAGATATCGGTTTATATAAAAAAAAAAAAAAAAAGAAAAGGAAAAAGTAGGCTTGCTTTCCATCCATATATCTATGTAGCTTTTCTTAAAAAAGAGTTTGAATAATGCAACTTCTTCTTTATAAAAGAAATACCTAATTTAGCTTTTATATATATGGATTCATTAATCTTTTTCCAATCACAGTTAGAGCTTCCCCACTTACCAAATTTAATATTATTGCCTGGACATTAAAATAATTGGTATGCTGATTTTATTATTTTCCTTACTTTTACTTTTTTTTTTTTTAAATTTTCATTTTTTAAAAAGATTGAGGAAACTCATTATAATAATTAACTAATTCCCACATAAGAATTGTTAGATATTCCACCTCTTGAAATATTTCTATAAATATAAGAACAAAATTCTTAAAAAATATATTTATTAGAAGGATAAAATATCTTTACGCTTCTAGTGTGGAATGAAATTAACATTTCTTACTTATATATATATTAGGCTAAGACTTAAAGTTATTTTAGTTTCAAAATCTAAAAAGTTTTGCGGCCAAAGCCAATAATTATTATCTGGTTACTTTTGAGGAAGTGGGGACATCAAATCTAAATCTCATGTTACTAAGAGCTTGTTTCATTTGGCTAGTGTGATACTTGTGGTAATTAATTGTCAACACTCAATTAGCAGTTGACAGCTGTGGATTAGTGAATGGAGGGCTAAACTCAAATAATTAAAAATTTATGCTTTCAACATTTTCAATTATAATTTTGAACTTCTTCATATTTCAGTTATTGGATTTAAGAATATTACTCTAATTACTGGATTTATTAAATATCTTTTTGACCAGAAATTGAACATTTGAATGTCAAATGTTCATTTCTAATCCTTTGTTCACATCAACCCTAATTATAGATAAAGTTGCCAACTGAAAAGCCAAAAGGGAATTCATAGTTCATGCTTAACACTTTTAAATAGACGGAAAAAGGGGTGGGGAAGTAGACTTTCTAACCTTAGATACATATAATATGGACACTAATTCATAATATCGAGAGAGAAAACATGTTATCTTTTATATTTTAATATTTTTTTTATTATCAACCATATATCTCTAACTCATCGGCTAAGGATTAAATCTTCTCGCACTTGATCAACCCATTAAAAAGTAAAGTGTTTCCAGTAAATATTTAGTCAATTTATGAGGACAGAATTGTCGATCTCTTTTAAAAGAGAAAAGTGCCGAACACTCGATTATATTCATATAATATTTAGGAATTTTTTTTCTGTAGTTAGGCTCAATATTTGCTTTCTAAATAGTTGTAAATCAAAATTTTTGCATTTGACATGAGATTTCTACCAAGTTATTTTAATGAAAAAATTACACATTTTATGAATACAAATGAAATTTTCAAAGAAAAAAAGAGGCATTAAATAATAAATATAATAATGATAAGAAAGAAAAAGAGGAAAGGGAGAAAAGTCTTGGGGGTGAGGGAATCATGTGAGAAGAATTTTAGTGATGGGCAAGATGAAGATGAGCTCCAATCTTGACAGCTGGTTCTAAACTCATTTTAGCTGCCATGAGAGATGACTCCTGCTATGCTATTTCCTTCTCATCTTTTCCTTTACAACTATATTGTTTCTTTGTGGACTGGAGATGGCATACGTATTGGACCATTGCCAATCTCTTCAAGAAAGCGTAATTTGAGACTAATGAATTTCGCTTAATAATATTACAATTGTTTGTAAATTTTTAAGGTTGCAAATTCAAATCTAGAATCGAAAACCTAATCAATATCATTAAAAACAATATAATATAAAATAAATTACATGAACAAAACAGTTGAATATTGTACACTTCAACCATATATTGCTTAAGATAACAAAAATTTAACTTGTCTATTAGCTCAGAGCATCGTATTAATAATGCCAAGGTTGCAAGTTTAAGACCATGGGCTATATTTATTTATTTTTGTACTTTATTACAATTTCAACAAATTAAAAATGTATTTATTATACATGGGCCAAAATGTTGGACTGATTCTGATTTATGGGGCAAAGCCCAAATCCAAAAGAAACCCGAAATTGAAAGATCAAATGGACTCCTAACAATCCATAATTATTTATTTATTCTTATTTATTTATTTCATTTAGTTATTGTTTGAGTATTAGAGAGGAGGAACCACTATACTATGCTTTAACGTGTATTCATAATTATTTGTTAGAAAAAGCTGAATTAGAAAAGTAATAATAAAATATTTAATTGATTTAAATTTTGATGTGCACTAATTTATATAATTCTTTAAGGAGCACTCCATTTATTAATACATTTCACAAAGTTCTATGAAATATTGTTCATTTTGGTTCTTCAAATTTGTAAGAAATATACAATTTCTTAAAAATCAATTTTTTTTATATATAATTTGCCCTCGAACTTGTATAGTTTTTCACTAAAAAAATAATTTTTAATATTTTTAATTAATAAAATTTATTAGTTAAAAATATTAAATATATCTTTCTGTTGTTTTAGATGTTTTACTTTAAAAATAAAATAGTTTTTATTAGTTAAAATATTAAAGATTACTATTTGTTATTTTATTTTTATTTTTCACTCATTTGGCACAAATTCGAGAAATTTATAAAAATTTAATTTTTGAATAAATTATATATCGCCTTCAAGTTCAGGGGAAAAAAATAATATTATTTCTAGCTTTATTGGCTTAACTTTCAATTTCACCCCGAATTTGTTGAATAGTTGCAATTTCACTCTAAATCGACCTTTGTATCTTGGATACCCTGAACTTATCAATCTAGTTGCAATTACACCCTAATTTGCCTCTAAGGTGCAATTACAATAACTTCAACTTATCAATTTGTTGTAACTGGATCCTAAAAGTAAACTAAGATAGGAAATTCTATTAAAATAATATAAAAAATGGACTCCATGTCCAGGTATTTAAACAATAAATAATAAAATCAAACCAAAGTATTCATATACTAAATAAAAATATTAAGATTGAATATTTGATTTTAAACTTGAATCAATTTTAAGATGCAAAACTAATAAGCTGGGTATGAATTCAAATTAGGGTGTAATTATAACTAGATTGATAAGTTCAGAGTTTTTACGCTACAAAAATCGATTTAGAGTGAAATTACAATTATTTAAAAAGTTTAGAGTGAAATTGAAGATTAAGGTTAGTTTTATTAGTAAGTTGGAACTTAGAAGCCATTAGACATCAAGGCCATTATATTCATCACATGCTGAAGGTTGCAGCAAGATAGACAATTGTAACTACTAATTGAATTTCACATACACGTTGCTAATAATTAAATTCTACATCTTCATTTCATATTAAGGTTTTTCTTATAGTTACGAAGGATATCCTCTCACCATATGTATATTTATCGGATGAAATACTAATTTTTTAAAATGAATATTTTTAAAACCCTTTCTAAAATATTGACTCCATGACTTAATTCTTCGACCAAGTGTGAGACTTAATAAGCACTAACTGTTAGATTAAACTGTCCTAGTTTATTTCTGTATATTTTAAATATGGCAATATATAGAATTTATATATATATATATATATAATGATGAAACAGGCTACTCTCATAAAACAATCCTATCCTATAATACACACACACAGACACATTTGTGTAATGTCTTAGGAATGTGAGATTTTGCATGCGTGCATTATTCTTATGTTTTGCATCATCATTATCATTTATAATCATTTTTCAGTCCAATATTATAATAAAAATGCAGCTATTGTAGTATAATTTACTTGGATTAAGAAAGGAAATATCACTTGGCAATAACAAAAGCGGGATTAATTACACACTCCTTTGCAAGAACATTACTGACCTACCATACCCATGTTAAGGGTCATTGTACGATTGTGTCATAAGCCTTCAAATGTTATGTATTATTAAGTTTATCAATAATATCTTCGATTTAGGTTATATTTTAACGCGTATTTTTATTTAGTATAGCCCAATTAGTTTTGAGTATATGTAGAGAGTCTTTTGATTCGGATTTAGTTCTCAGTAATATTAAATTTTTTTCGACTCTATAAATAGAATAAAATAAAATAAAATATTATTTGCTCATAAAAAAACAATAATGTCTTCAATTTGCATAAGGTATAAAGAATAATATTCAATTATATTAATATCTAAGATTAGAGAATGTCAATGTAAAGAGTACTCAAATCCATCAAGACTAACCACAATAAGCTCCTTTTCATGATTCAATGTACCAGACTGACCATTGAGGAGAGAAGGAAATTGAAATAAAAAAATAAAATAAGAAGAAGAAGAAGATAGAAAAAAAAAAGTCAAATACAATAATATGTATATGAACATTCCCTAGAAAATTTTATCAACCTCATTGTATATTTATTTATTTGGATTCTACGGAATTATAAACAAGATTTCTTCAAAAAAAATTATAAACAAGATCGATCAAGCAGAAGAAGACTGGAAAATAACAACATTGTACTGATAATGATAATAAGAAGAAGAAAATAAGGTGGTGGGGACGTATAAGCACATGACAAGATCAAGAAAAACATAGATCGTCACCATTCTTATTGCTGATCTATAAATTCCACCAAGACTGACGATATTGAGACAAAGACAGACACAGAGACGACAGAGTAAGAAAGAAATCAAATTTGGGATTGGTATTTTTCATAGGAAAAAATCTTTTTCGTGGCAAGAGAAACCTTATATCAAAACCTAACATAGAAAATATGTCTTTCAAATTAACATTTTTCCCATTTTCTTTCTTTCTTACACAACCAAACCCAAATAATGCACACCAAATAGGAAAGATAACCCCACCAAGAAATTTTACATTTCACATTTTTCCTATATATAATATATATGCACTGATGTAAGTAAGTAAGTACACAAAACACACCATCATTACTGTCTATTCATTGGCCAAAAAAAAAAAAAAAAAAATAAAAAACAAAAAAAAAATTAACCATCAAAAACACACCATAAATATAAAAGATCACACCCCCCAAGCAAACTCCCATAAATAAATTTAAAAAAATTGGAAAAAAAAAAAAAAAAAAAATACACAAAAACACACCATAAATATAAAAGACACACCCCACAAGCAAACTCCCATAAATAAATTTTAAAAAAATTGGAAATAAGGGTAATAATTATAAGTCATAGTGTTCTTACAAGAAAATTACAAAGACCTGTTTTGCTGCTGCTGCTGCTGCTGTTCAAGAATATTAATATTAGTAGTTCTTTGTCTCTTAACACTAGCTGAAGAAGAATCATCAGCACCACTCTTTTCCATAACAGCTTTCAAAGCTTCTTGGATTGAAGTAATAGAATATTGCTGGTGTTGGTGTTGGTTTTGGCTATCATTGGTGTTACTTGAAGAATCTTCTTCTCCGGTAATGAATAGAACATTCTTTACACGTCCACCAAGTGTTGTAATCTCAGCTTTTAGTGTTCTTAACCGTAAGGCTTTCAATGTCTTTATTAGGTCTGGTAAAAGATCAGACCTATCTTCACAACAAAGCGATGCTTTGATTATAAACTTACCATCTTCATCTGACTCTGATGTATCTACTGTTAACTCATCCATTTCTGTTGGTACTGGACTTGTTTCTGCTATTATTGATGTCTGCCGTTTTAGCTCTTTTACGTGTTGGATCACCTCTGCTAGCAATGAAGCTTTGTCTGTCTAATTTGTTTTTTTGACAATAACAAAAAACCCCAACAATGGTACTAAATTAACGTGATGTTTATTCTTAATTAAGCAGAAGTAAATAAAAGTTGATGATTACACCTAATTCTTGTGTGTATTAATCATCTCATTAACCAAAAAATAAGAAAAGAAGAGTTTTTGGCTGTGTAATATTGTCATGTCCAGAATTATGATATTGTGATTAAAAAAGAATGATTATTTGTAAGAAAAGTAATCTTTTGGTTTTTGTAAAAAGAAGAGATGGGATAGTTAGATTAAGGCATGAAAACTGTAGATTCTTCTTAATAATGGAGGTGGGGTTATAAAGGGAGGATTAGGGCATGGGTATAAGACTGACAAGAATGCTAGTTTTGTCTGGTCTTTGTATAAAAATGAAATAAATATATTTCTCCCTATTTAGTTTGACTGAAATGATCCGGCAAGAAATTTCCATGGAAGCTTTTCAACTGCTCTTTGGTTTCTCTTTATCATATCAACCGAGCGACATTAACGCTTATTCCCCTTTTGGTTTTTGCTCTCCTCGGAACTAACACAAACTCCCTAAAGAAGGAGAATAATAAACCCAAAAGCAAAAACAACAGTAGTGTCTAATTTTCTATATGTACATATATATTTGAAAACATTACTAAAAATAAAAATGTAACTATAAAGACGCTTTTCATATCTAAACAAGATATGCTAGGTTATTTAATTTTTGATAGAAGCGTAAAAGAAAAAAAATGGTTGAACTCAAATTAATTAAAGAAAAAAAAAATATTTGATTGTACTTACTTTGGTTGTGCTGGGTAATAAGCTGCGTAGCTTAGCAAGATGATTGTTGATTCTTTCTCTTCTTCTTCTCTCAGCCTCACTGTGACTTTTAGAAGCAGCAAGTGCTTTAGCATCCATGATTTCTTGAGCAGTCATTTTGCCTAATTCAGCTTGTAAACCAAAAGGAGCTGAACCGGGTTGATGATGAAGCACCGGTCCAAGAGTATCAGAAAAGATTCTAAGATGATGATCATTAGTAGAAGCACCATCATATGCAAACTGCAAAGCAGGAGAAGCTGATCTTCTGTTAAAGAAACTACCATAGGGTGATGGAAGTGGAGGAGGGATAAGAAATGGGTCGTGTTGATGATCGCGAACCGGGTTGGGGTTAAAGTGGGTAGGGTTAAAAGAATGAACTGGAGGTAGAGACCATGGTAAGATTGGGGAAACTTCCGGGAATATTAATCCAGATCCTCTACCTCCACCGCCGCCACCTCCATAGATGACGTCATTATTGGTATTATGTTGCTGTTGCATTTGTTGAAGAAGAAATTGTTCTTGATAATCTTGAAAGTTATGAATATTTTGAGAACACTCTCCTTGATTATGATCTTCTTCTTTAAATCCACACATATCTGGACAAAAGATAAGATGAGAGAAAAAGATTAAAACTTTGAAATCTTTAAGGGTTTTTCCATATTCTTGTATTTTAATATGAAATTCAATAAAAAAAGAAGAAGAAGAAAGAAGAGGAAGAAGAAGAAGAGAGAAGAGAGAAGAGAATAATATTTATATACTCATATAGCAACAAGGAGAGACAGACCTCGTTTTTTCTTGAAATTGTGCAATATAAGATGGATATGGACTTTTCAGTGCTCTATACTCTATCTCTTGTAGAAAGATAGTGGAGATGGCAAAAGAAAAGAAAGAAAGAAAGGGTTTGGACTTAGTGTGTAAATGTAATAAGACTTTCTTCGTTTCTGCTGGTTGGATATATAGTTTTGATAGCTCTTTCTTCCAATCTCTGCCACAGGCTTTGTGGGTTTTTTTATCCTATGCTTGCAACTACGCTTTCCTTTTCTTTGGCGCTTTGTTGGTATCTTTTTGGTTTCCCTTTTGTTGTTTTTTGCTCTACTTTTGTGCTCATTTGCTCTCTCTCTCTCGCCACTACTGATCTGATATATATATAGAGATTAGAGAGAGAAGCTGTGTAAGTAATTATCTTCCCTTTCCTATATTGCTTTCCTTTCTTCTTACGGCATTCTCTATCCATCCCTGTACCACCAGGGTGGGAGGTTATATCCTTTTCTTTTATTATTTTCCATTACTTAATTTTCTTTTTACTTAAAAAATAAACATTTCTGGAGATCCTTGCAGTCAGGATTTGAGTTTTGTATCTTATAAATTTCTTAATTTAATGCAGGTAATCCATCTGTTTTCCTTTTTTTTTTTTTATCCAATGGTTAAATATAAAATATAATCACTTTATTGTTAAATCAAAAGAAAGTTTTGATTATAAATTGTATTTTTTTTCAGAATGATAGTAAATAAAACATAAATAATTATGAATTTTAATGGTTGAAAGTGTATAATTACTTCGTGAGAGATAGAGGTGGGAATGGGAAACACAAAAACAAACACAGTGAACACACAACACACAGATTGTCGACCGACCAAAGACCGAAAAGGCTGATAGTATCATCATGATAAAAGCCTTAGGTTAGCCTATATCTAATTTTTTTAAAAAAAAATAAATAAATTATCTAATTAACTATTAACAAAACACATTTCTTAATTAATAATTAAATAATTTTCTTTTCTTTGATTACCTCGGTCAAGCCTCCCTCGTTCTTCTATATATACTCTTTGGCTATTTCCACGCCACCCTTTTCTGTTTCCCCAAGACCATGTAATGATTGTGTCTTGGAACACACTCCATCTCTTTCTCTTTCTCTTTCTCTTTCTCTTTCTCTTTCTATCTCTTACTGGTTTCAGTTACATGTATATTCATGGCTCTTACCGGTCCTTTTGGAATGTAGATCCTTTTAGTTTTTGGGTAGGTGGAGAAGAATATTTGGGCATGAACTTGTTTTTTTCTTAGTGAGTGGTGATGGGGTTAGGGTCGAAAGTGGTGGCCCTTTCTTTGCTCTTTGCCCCTTGCCCCTTTTTTCCATTAATTTGTACTAACATATGTCAAAAGGTTGGTATATGCTATTTAATCTTGAATTTTTAATAAGAGATAAAGCTTCTTTCTGTTCTTGTTAGAGTAATTTAGCTAGTACTGGCTATTAGACTGTTGCTTTTGCTTCATATATTAATGTCTAGTGCTCCTACACTCCCACATTATTGTCTTGTTTTGTTCCTTCTTTATTTGAATTCTAAAGTTTTGGCAGTTGTTACCAGTTTTAGTAGCGTTTACCTATCAGTTGCTTTAATATATTTTCATAAAATACTAAAAGTTAAATGTTATGTTATCAAATACTATAAAAAATAGTATTTAACTGTTTAATCAAAACGTTAAAAAATACTTAAAATGCTGCTGAAGGACACGGCATTAATGTCCTTAATTAAGTTTAACTCTGAATAAGTTTGCTATTAAAGAGATTTATTTAGACGGTTTGCTTAGTTGGTAGATGAGTTTATTCTCTAGAATTAATGGTAATGGAGTGAAATCGAAATAGAATTTTATTTCAATTATAAATTTTTACCTTCAACGAACATTTATTTTTGATTGAATTGAAAAAGTAAATTTAATATGATATATGAAACTAAAATTAATGCTAAGAAATAATATTCTTAAACGCACATGCAAAACTCCAAGAAAGAAAAAAGTTTAACCTCAACACGTTAATCTAGTCTGACCACTTAATTATAGTTATAATAGATTGTTTATAAAATTTTTATTATACATAAAATTTGAATATTTCTCCTAATATTATAATAGAAATAGGAGATCAAAAACACAAATGCTCAGTAATGTTTACTCTCCAACAAATACAATCCTTCTTTTCAGTCTCAGTTGGATTGTTTAGTTACAATAGAAAAATAGGTAACTAAATTAACTTATCTCTTAGCTGAGAAATGAGAATATATACATTAAAAAAAACAGCAAGAACAGCATTTGAAGTCCAAAAGCACTATACACAGTATAGAAGGAAATAATACCTGTTTGCAATCACTTTTGACATGTGGCACAGTAACCCAGAGGCTTCTCATCACTATACTATTTTCTTTTCTTTCTTTTAATGTATAACGATATATAAATAAATATCCTTTCCTTTTATATTCCTATATCACCACGAGCTCTTGTGTTTGCTGCCATTCAGTGCTGGATGGTTCTTGCTGGGCTTAAAGAGGTTCAATACTCCTTTTGAAGCATCATATATTTATGGTAATAAAAAGAAATATGTATGCGTATATATATACAAGAAAAAAATTTATATGATGGCTTAAATCTTAATGCACAGCTATACATATACATAAAAAAAAGTAAAAAAAAAAAAAAATACTATCATTCGACCAACCTGCCTTTTTATTTCCCTTTTCAACACAATAATTGTATAGAGGAAAATCGAGGAACACATTTAGACCCATTATTTAATTTTGTCACACACTTTTTTTTAATTATTTTTTGATTAAACCCATTAAACACAAAGTACTAACAAGCTTATTCCCAATGTCTTTTTCATTAAAATTGTCTAGGGCATGAAAACTTGGAGGATTGGTTAATTAATTAACTAAAGATTTTAATTTAGTTTTTTTTTTTTTTTTGGCTCTTTTGGAGTCTTATGTGGTCACACGCATGGCTGCTCTGGTCCCCATTGTTTTATATACTTTCATCTTTTACAACCCTTTTCTTTTATTATTATTGTAATTGTCCTTTTAAAAAAAAAAAAAAAAAAAAAAAGATAATTATATATTATATATAGTCTATCTATAAAAATAAATAAATAAATAGTTATTATTCAACATTGTATGATAGCTGCACTAGCACTAATAACATGCCCACGGAAGAAGAGGAAAAAATGTTCTCTCCTTGGGTTTTGTGGTATTGTGGGTTATGATGACCATCAATCCCACTCTGTCATGATCGTTTGTTTTTTGAGCTGAGCCTCAAGCCTACGTTTAAGGTTCTTGCCTGATTAATGTTTTGCTTTCCTAATTTTGCCCTACCTAGCGAAGAGAAGCAAACTTAAATTGTGGGATTCTAATTTGCTGGCTTCCTTATTGATTTTTGGAGTTTGAATAAATGTTGTTAATTTCATCTTCAATTCCTTCAATTTCTGAGTTTTCAAAAGTTTCAGTTCATCTACTTACTATTATTATATATATCAATTTATTACCAACCATACCAATTATACAAAACTTATTACATTAGGACGTTTCGCTAATTTAACAGTTAAAATATTTATTTTACTGCAATATTTTAAAAAAATACTTATTAATGAGCTCAGGAAAGTTTTGGGGTATCTCCTCTCTCTTTGCTTGTAAATTTTTTATAGCACAAAATAAAGATTGGAGAGATAGTAAAAGAATTGATATCTTTTTAAATGGTTTTATGTTTTTGAAACTAATGAAATACCCCGCGTACATATATAATGTATGTATATATGACTTTCTTCCAGATAATATATTTGGTTAGTGGAGTGTCTTTAATTCATAAGATGCATGACCAAGATCTACCTAAACCTAATTAATTAAAAGCATCATGATCATACTTAATTAATAACTGTACCACTTGAGCTTGGCTTTATTGTCATATATGGCATGATAATGGCCTTCAAGGCACGTTCTAAGGTAATAAATAATAATATAGAGGATACATATATTACACACACATTCCGCCTACAACCAACGTTTTTCACGTAAAAATTATTAGGATGATTCTTATATATATTATAGTTATTTGATTTTAAAAATGAAATTTAATCAATAAGTAAAAAAAGTAAATTCACTATAATTAATTGTTTGTGAAAGACGGTTCCAATATTCATTATTTGAATCTCATGTTATTCTAAAGCCATAGTTCGTCTTACATTAAGTTAACATCATTTGAAACTTTTGTTAGTTATTTAAATTAATAACATACAGCAATACGGTTGAATTTTTTTAACAAATGTATTGATTTTTGATGTGAAATATTATTTACTACTTTTGATGATGGTTATCAAAAATATTTTATTGCAATGTTTAGTCATGTATTTTTATTAGCATTCAAATTTTTCCCTTCTAACATTTTGTAAAATCCTACTATTGAATTGGAACATATATATATATATATATATATAACGTAACATATTAATTTCTCCAACCTTAATATTTGGGATTCATGTCAGATTTTAGGGTTTACCAATTAAATAATTAAACATATATATATGACTTTCAAAATTTACAAAGAAATTATGATTAATTATTGAATTTCCAATTTCTTTTTCTTATTTCCAATTTTATTATAATGGGATAGTAGTTATAAAATTGTAATTGAATATGGAGCAGTTTTCTCTGCTTTGTAGTACTAGTACCCTGCAGCAAATAGCTTCATTATTTCCCTCATGGGTGCTCATGATTTCCACTATTCAAAAAGTGTCAAAATTTGAGCTTAAACGAGAAAATCCAATATTTTTTGCGAAAAAATATATTGGGACCACTCTGAATTTTCACTTGTTGAACGCTTCAATTTATAAAAATAACATTTGTTAAACATTTAAATTTTGTAATATATTATATATATATATATATAAAATATTATATATATATATATATTATAAATTGCCTACTTATTAAATGCCCTGTTAAAGGCATCCTTTCTCTTCTCCCTCCACAATCAGGACCCCCTTGATTCTGGGATCCCAGGTCAAGGTTGCGGAACCCTTTAAACCATATAAAATTTGTTCTTGCGTAAAATTGTATGTTGTATAAGTATCTCTGGGATGCCGGCTTAGTCTGATCTTCCACATCAGAAATAAATTGTTATATGCTTGTTGATAAACAGAACTGTTTGTTCATATTAAAAAAAGATTAAACAGTAACTATTTCTAAATTTAATTTGGAAGAGGAACAGTACTTGTTATAAATTTTATTTTGTTTAATAAATTAATTTGTATAATGTTTGATCTTTAAAAAGTTTAAATATAAATATTTTCATCAATAGCAATTACTTCCTTAAAA